CGTGTCATGCAATGCCCACGGAGGACAGAAAAGGCTGTCAGATGCCCTGGAACTGGAGTTACAGACAGTTGTTAGCTGCCATGTGGGTGCTGGGATTTGAACCTGGGTCTTCTGCAAAAACAGTCAGTGTTCTTAACCGCTGAGCCATCTCTCCAGCCCCTCAAGAATCAATATTTTAAAAAGTTTTTCTTTATAAAATCGTTTACCCAGCTAAAAGACAACTGAATTTCTCACTTAAAACGTATTTATTTGTGTGTGCATAGATGCAGGTACATGCGTGCCACAGAATATGTGGAGGTCTGAGGACAACCTTCAGGAGTGGATTCTCCCACTCCACCTTGTTGAGGCAGGGTCTCTTGTTTGCTGCTTCTGCTTCTGTGCACTCCAGGCTAGGTGGCCGAGGGGCTTCTGGCTGACTTCTCCTGTCTCTGTCTTCCACTCACTGCATGAGTGCTGGGACTACGACTGTGCACCACAGCCATTTGGCTTTGTCTGTGGGTTGCAGGGACCAAACTCAGGTCATCAGGCTACATAAATACTGTACTTACAGAGCCATCTCCCCAGGCCCTTGCATACACATACATGTACAAACACACACACACACACACACACACACACACACACACACAATGCCTGGCCTACATTTCACATAGTCAGACCTCTATACCATGAGTTCAAAGCAAATCAAACTAAAAAAAATTTTTTAATCCACACCTATTTTTATCACGTACAGACATTTTCCATCTTTATTCCCTAAACATTACAATGCAACGCCTATTTGCACTTTGTTAGGTGTAAGTGATCTAGGGGGATGCATGTAGGTTACATGAAAGTGCTACGCCATTTTATAAGGGAATATTATGCGTCTTGTTATCATGGGCAAGCAGGGTCCTGGAACTCATGCCTGTGGAAATCAAACAGTGACCATATCAATAAATACACAAATACACAGATGTGTGTTACTACTTCCCCACTACTTTATCTAAACAAATGGGAGCCTAGTATACTCATGTATTGTTTTATTGTTTTTTAGTAGAGATGGTTCACACCTACAAACATGAACACAATGCATTCTTTTCATAGGTATATACCATTCCAATGAGATAGATCTAGTTAGTCTTCTACGATGTGGAACTGAACACCCTTGATTATACGTTGTTTTCTAAGTTTTTTAACTATTCAAGAGGAGCATAGTGGTGGTGCATGGCTGTAGCCTCAGTTCCATGAGAAGGCAAAAGGCTTGAGCACAGGAGTTTGAGAAGAGCCTGGGCAACACAGTGAGACCCTAGCTAATTCAATAAATCAATAAGCAAATAACAAAAATAAGTAGGGGTGGAGACAGCTCAGGCTACAATGCTTGTCTAGTAACTGGTTTTGGTCCCCCACAATGAAAAATAGTAATTAAAAATTTAAATAATAAATAGTATATGGAAGACATCGAGCCAATGCATAGCCTTACCAACAGTGCTTTACCAAAAGCCTGATAACCTGCATTTCTATTTGGTAACTGCCTCACTGCTTTTTAAATTGGCAATTTTCTATTCAGTTCCATTGCTCGTTTCCATTTCTGATTATGAAGCTGTTTTTATTACCATAGGCAATCAAATATTAAATAAAATATTCGCATATTGTGTGTTGTGTGCAGTGCACGAGTGGTTGTGTGTCCCTGTGCATGTACATGTAGAGGTCAGAGTGGGACATCGGGCAGCCTCCTCCATTGCTCTCTGCTCTACTGCATTGAGACTGCATCTTATTGAACTGGAAGCTTGCTCTTTCAGCTAGGCTGGCCAGCCAGTGTGCTCCCAAGGTCTGTTTATTTCTGTCCCCAAGACTGGGATTACAGACACACACACAGCCATGCCTGGCTTTTTAAAACTGTGGGTGCTAGAGTTAAACCAGGTTCTTGCAGTTGAAGAACAAGTGCTCTTACTCCCTAATCAAATATTAAAAGGACACTTTATTTAAAATTCTTCACACACACTAGCTCTACCAATAAGTCACACCATAAGCCAGAAGAAAATATTTTAGATGCTTTAATGACAGAAGCAATGGTACAGTAGAGTTCCTGCACATATAATGACCAGCAGGGCATGGTGGTGCATGCCTTTAATCTCAGCACTTGGGAGACAGAGGGAGAGGGACCTCTGTGAGTTCAAGGCAAGCTGGTCTACATAGCAAGTTCCAGGCTAGCCAAGGCTAAAATGTGAGACCGTAGCTTAAAAAAAAAAAAAATCCAATAAACTATTAAATATATGAAAAACTGAATTTACTGCATCTCCTGAAAATGACAGATTATTCAAGTCACAGTATTTTTAAATAAAAGTTACCTAGTGATTTAAAAAAATAAAGTTTCATGTTAACAAACTGGAGGTACAATATTTGACTTCAAAACATGTCATAAAACTACAATAATCAAAACTGAATGGTATTGGAATAAAAACCAACACACAACCAAAGGAATCAAACAGAAAACATAGAAATTTACCTAAACATTTGCAGAAAATGATTTTTTTTTTAACACAGATGCCAAGAACACTCAATGGAGAAAGGATGGCTCTTAATAAAGAAAACTGGGAAAATTGGATATATATGTATTTACAAGAATTAAACCTGACCTACTAACCTCTTCCCATATACATAAAAAGTCAACTCAAAATGGACCAGGGCCCTAGATGTAAGGCCCGAGACTATGAAACTACTACAAGAAAAAAGGGGAGCAAACACTTCAAGACACTGGTCCAGGCAAAGGCAGTCTGGGTAGCCCCCCAAAACACAAACAACAAAAGCAAATCCAGGCAAAGGGGATTCAATTGAACCAAGCCTCTACATAGGAAGAAGCAACAGTGAGGAGACACTTGTGGACTGGGAGAAAATATTTGCGAACTATCCAGCGAAGAAGGGATTAACATCCAGGATACGGGGCTACCTCACATAGTGAAACAGCAAAAACAAGTACACATAACACATAACCATGTTTAAAAAATCAGAAGAAAAAAAAAAACAAAAAATTGGCAAAAGACCCAAATAGACATTTCTTAAAAGACATACAAATGACTAATAAATCTAAGTGTCTGATATCCAGACAGGAGAGCAGAAACCAAAGCCACAAGATCATGTCACCCAAGCTAGAATGAATACTATTTCTGAAAAAGACAAAAATAACAACAGAAAGAACAAAGGGCGAAAAGGGTACCTGAGGAGTCTTCTGCATCACTGGCGGGAATGCACAGTGGTAAAGCCATCATGGGACATGCACAATGTGGAGGTTCCTCCTTGAACAACCATCTGTGTGGAGGTTCCTCCTTGAATGACCATCTGATCCATCACTGGGTAAACATCTAAAAGAAACTGACAGTATTTCCAGAGACAGAAATGCTGATTTCCCTAATCTGGCCCTTACGTATTTCATACACATATGAATAAGTCCATGAATAAGTCCATGAATGAGTACAAATGTGATGCCAATTTATTTTTGAGGTATGGTCTCTTTGCAGCTCAGGATGGCCTTGAATTCACCATCCTGCTGCCTCGATCTTCCTAAGTGCTAAGATCATAGTGTCTACCATTTTGTCTGAGCAGGTGGTGTAGATGGAGCCGATCATCCCTCTTAAGGTGTTTTACAGCTGTATGAGGTAGTATACACCTTGTACTCTTGGTTGTGGGGCAAAGGCAGGAGGAGAGCAAGTTCAAGGCCACCTGGGCTACAGAACAAGTGAACAGCTAGCCTGAAACCTTGCCTCAAAAAATTTTTTCCTGAAGAGAAATGCATTAGTATTCTATCCTTTACTCTATGTTCTGTGAGTCTTAGAGGTTCCATTGTAGCTATGACACTTAGGTTTGGGCATCTCACAAACACTTATTCTCTGTGTGTGACCAGTTGTGGAACTCCGTAATTGTCTGTTGCAAAGAAACTTCTTTGATGAGTGGTGAGTGGCATACTTGTCTGTAAATATAAGGATCCATATTTATCATACAGTAAGAAATTACATTTGTCTAGGGATGGGACAGTTTTAGGGTTTTCTCTAGGACCTATGACCTCTCCACCAATGTATATTTGGCTATTTACAGTATCACATGAGTTCCTTCCTATTGAGTGAGCTTTAAGTCTAATTAGTTAGCTGTTGATTACCCCCAAGATAAACGTGCTCGTATGAACCTACAGCAATGGTTTCAGCATGCACAAGACCCATGCAAACTTCAGCAGACAAAAACCCAGCATAGAACTGGGAAAACGGGCAGCAGGCCCCACACTTAGCTGAAGAATGATTAGCAGCTGATTACTGTTGGGTGAGGGAGAACTGATCATCTTTAAGGGAGTGACTCTACATAGGCTGACTAGACCCCAGTGGATTAATTTGCACTGAGGGATATGTGGGTACACAAACTTGATAGGTCCTAACATATATGACAAAATGCATGGAATCTGGTGGGGTGAACTGTGGGGAGGGTTGGGATTGGGGAGGGGGTATAAAGATGATAAAGATGTTTTGTATGAAATGCACAAAAATTCAATAAAAATATACATAAAATTTCCCCCATCCATCTCTATGTAAATATTTCATTGAAATAATAACTATACTGGATTAGTGTCTTCCTCAAATTCATGTCCATCTAGAACCTGTGGACACAGTCTTACTGGGACATAAGATCTTTGCATATGTAAGATGAGGTCATACCAGATTCTGGCAGCAGAGAAAGTGGACATACACAAGGGACAATGACACATGAGGCAGAGGCTAGAGCGATGCAGCTATAAGGTGACAGGGCTACTGCAACCAGCAAAGGGGGAAAGACGCCCAGTCCTGCAGACATCTTCGTTTTAGACTTCTGGCCCCTGCAACTAACTTTTCAGTAGTTTTTGGCCATGAGGTATGTAGTATTTGTTAGATCCAACTTTGTGTAGGTCTGAATTACCATAAACTTCAAGTGATACACAGCTAGACCAAGTGACATGTTGTAGTATGCTTTTATAACTAGGATGCTTCCAATAAGGCAAAGACTTAGAAAACTTTGTTTTGTTTTTAATTATCTCATTGAGATATAATTTATATATATGAAAGAAAAACAATTCCTGTAAACAAAGCGCTGTTGTACTGCGCAGGGTTCACACTTTATCACTTATAGCCTCCACCCCTCTTAACAGTTTCAGAAGTGCGGTTGGGTTATATGGGAAGAGATTCTTCTTCTGCAAACGGTAAATGGCATCGTGTAGGTCTCCAAGGCATTTCACAGTTCTATAAAGCATTGCCACTTCTGACACAGGATTATCTAGATCTACTTCAGCAGAGAAGGGAGGGTTAGATTCTTCAGGAATTGGAGGCCTTGACTGAGGCTCTAGGCTAAGTTCTTCTAGATCCCTACTTGTCCCGGCTGGGTCTTGAATTTTCCTGATGGTTTCTTGATAAAAAGATGTCTGTTCCATGTTTGCTGAACACTGGTCTGTGGCTTCCACATCAGAATCTTCTGAGCTGTCATAATCTACCAGACTTTTTGGGATCCAGGGGGAAGGCAAGCTATGAGCTCTCACAGGGTGGGTCTCCTTGGGCATTGAAACCTGGTCGTGGGGTTCAGAGGGGTCTTCTGAAGCCCAGGGGAACCTCACAAGAGCATCTCTGGGGCCTCCAGGAGGAGTCAGAGCATGAAGTGCTGTCTGGTCAGCGTGTCTGTCTTGGCTGAGTGAGGGGACAAGGCCACAAATATTTATGTCACATTGAGACTCATTTGCATCAAAGAACTTGCAGATGGTAAGGAAGTGAACCCAGTCTCTCTGCAGTAATTTTAAATATCTAACAAAATATTCAAGAAAACAGGTTTCTGATGAAATCAAAAAGTCAAGAAGAACTGTAGAATCAAATGCTATATTTTTTAAGAAGAATAGGAAAATACAGTGAGGGTTACAGCCAGTTCCATGTGTGTGGCTGATCCATGCTTCTTTTTCTTGGGTCAAACTTTCAGCAGCTTCCCATTCTCTGAAAATGAAGATGAGGGAGAACTCAAGACAATGAATCTTCACACACAGGTTGTGAGTTATAAACCACACACTAAATATTCAGCTAGCTGTCCCATTATTTTTGAATGTACATATTACTTTAAAAAGAAATTCAAAACTGAATCTGTTCACCACCAATTATAGGTAAATGACTCAATAAAAGAAGTCCACTGACTATGGCAGTTCTAGATTTTGCCTGCACAGGAGACTTTAGTCATTCTTTCTCCATCACAAGCTCCATCTCCTCATTCTCCAGAGAAATGAATTCCATGTGTAAGGTGGGGCTCACTCTGGCCTCAGGATGACCCCATGATTCAGAATGACCAATTAGAGCCATCTCGTGTTCTGGGCCACATGATCCAGGAAGGCTAACAGAGCTCTGCTGGGACTTCACTGATTATAAGATAACTCTAAGACTGATAGAAGCCTGAAGCTGCTGGTAGCCAGGCTTGAGAATGAATTTGGGCTTTGAGATAAGTTAGGGAAACAACAGAGGCATGCTTTGAATTGTATACACACACACACAGAGGCATGTGTCTATGTGTACACACTCACAGAGCATGCTTTGAGTCCTTACACACACACACACACACACACACACACACACACACACACACAAAAATCCCTGATGCGAATTCAATCCCTGAGAACTCCCAACCAGGAGCCAAAAAATCCTGTTTTTGTTAAACCACTTTGAATTGGTTTCTGTCATTTACAATCAAGAAAATCCTAACCCAGTGACATTTTTAAGTACCCATGGCATGAGTATACCTCTCTGGGCACAGCAAACTGAGGTTAAGGCAGCAAGAAACTCACATATAAAGCAGAGGAGGAGCAAGAAGGCAGCTTTCAGTAAAATTAAGATATATACTTATGGGCACATCAATTCTTAGTCTAAATCTGTGCTTCACTACTTTTAACCCTAATTCAAATCACGTGCAGGAATTCTGTGTCTCTTGATTAGAACCTAGATTTAGAACCTGAAAACTGGCCCAAAACATTCACAGTTGGAAAGCAGTCATTGCCAGCAGAGTCCTAGTGCAGTAAGAACTGAAGGCAAGTCTGCACGGGGATCCTTAGTGAGAGAGCCCCTCTCCCAGGCCAAGAGCCATGGGAAGGAAACATACTTAAAGGTTTTAATAAAGCAGAGCAGAAATAATGGAAAGGGCCATCAGTTAGTGACTTCATTAGCAATTACAGATACTGCTGCAAATACAGCTGTTTTAATAAAGCAGAAACAGAAGTGACGTAGCATGCCACCAGGATCTCCATAACCACTTTCAGATATTTGCCTCCAGAGGGAACAGCCCAAGTGTGGCCCTATATTAAAGTGAAAGTTTAGAAGAGCTCCTTTGATTAGTTACACTACTCACTTTTACAAAAGCAGAGGTCATCGCATAGAAGCTTAATTCCAGCAAGTGTTAGAGGTAAAAAAAAAAAAAAAAAGTCCTACTCATCAGTTAAGGTTCAGAGAAGGCACTGGCTTGCAGCGATCACACAGGTAACACAGGCAAAGATTCAACAGGAACCCAGGGTTTGAGATCTTGCTCTAGGTTCTACTATCCCAGGGGTGCCCAGCCAGCCACGTTCTCATGTTTGTATGAGAGGCAGGGTTAAAAACAGGAGTAAGTCCCAGTTACTTGAAATGTACAGACCTGGCCAACTTGAGGTAGATGCTCAGGGACGCTTTGGCAGCCTCCAGCATGTCATCGTCCTGTTCTATGAAGACCCTGGACAGCCATTCACATGGGTTATGGAAGTGCAGTGAGGGCTGAAGGTGAGGCTTTAAGAAGGTCAGTAACTCAGACATGAACTTCTGCAAGTCAACTTCAAAACATGCAAATTCAAAAGTGCAGGTCAGTGTTTATGAACACATTCATAGTATCTTGTTTATATGCAAATTCTAAATGCATTATTGCAATTCATACCCCCAGAAAATACTATTGAGTTCTGGACACTGTTTCACAAATGAAGGAACTCAGGATCGGAGAACAAGTGACTTACCAGAGAGCATTCATTTAAAATGCACTGTCAAGTCTTTTGCTGGCCAAAACTAGTTATAGTTTGTCTACGAAATACATAGGCTATTTTGTGATAAAAGCATTTATATAAGTGAGTAGACAACAATAATCTCTTCATTGGGTACCACAGCTTTCTGTTAATTATAGACAACAGTGTCACTCAAGTCTATCTTTTGCTTTCTTACAACATTAAAAAAAAAAGTACTGCTATTAAACAAAAATCCAAATAGGATCTGGGAGTTTAATTACAACTTAAACCTCTGAATTAAGTAACAGATGCCACCTAGTGTTGTAAACTGTAATTGCAGAGATTATAATAAAAACAAAAACAAGGGGCTGGAGAGATGGCTCAGTGGTTAAGAGCACTGGCTGTTCTTAAAGGAGACCCAGGTTCAAATCCGAGCACCGACATGGCACTAATGACCGTCCATAACTCCAGTTCCTGGGGCTTTGACACCCTCTTCTGTCCTCCGTGAGCATCACATGACAGGGGTGCACTTACACACCGCAGGTAATACACTCATACACATAAAATTTTTTTAAAAGATAATTAAATACTAAAAACAAAAACAAAAACAAAAATAAAAGCTACCCACAATAATCCGGGGGTGGGGGGTCACTGCTGACAATTCAATTCACTGAAACCACGCCCTGCTTGACGCCCTGCTTGTTTGGAGGCATTAGCTGTTTATTTTTTCAAGTGAAATGGAAGACAGAGCCTCTACTACCACCTACATCAGAAATCAAACTTTCAGGCATTCCTTGAACTATGGCATTATCACCTGGAAGTTACAGGAAAGAGTTTCTTTATCAATACAACTTCTAATTAACAATAATGTGAATAAGTATACTGCTTTTATGAATAACATACAAAATACTACAAATATTTAGATATGAACTGACGTCTACTATTTGCTTTGTGATGACTCAATATTGGAGCTGGCTCAATAGCAACTTTCTTACTACCTGAGCCATTCATTATGCTGTGTATATTCATTCTACCCCTAAGAGCTGACAGGCTTCCTAAGGTAATTTCCATCCTGTCTCTTTAAATATTTACTAAATTTCAATTGGGAAAACATAATTTAGTGAAATGATACTAGTCATAATATTCAGTAATTATGACTCATTTTGCTTAAGCAAATAACTGCATATTACTGTGAATAAAAAATGAGCTGAGAGAATTACCTTTCATTTCATTTGCAGAGTTACAGTTCTGCAACTTGATTTCTAGGGATTTCATTGTAATTAAGCTTGCTGCTCTAAGCATCACATGATCAGCACCAGAACTATGTTCACATCTAGCCTGAATTTCGCCTCCAAAGCCAGAAGGCCTTCCATGAACAGACAAAGCCTTCAACAAGCCCAGCTGCACAGCATGCAGAACTGCATCAGCTAGAGCCAGCATGTCGGCTTCCAGAAGATGGTCTGCTGATATCAAGGCAGGCACAGATCCACGGCAGAGATCTTCCCCCACCTTATAGAGAAGGCACCTTTTAATGAGTATTATCAACTTCCTTTTGACAAAAGCCTGAATGGGCCAGGTAAGAACTTCCAAAACACATGGTTTTAAAAATAACATTCTTTGGCTCCTACAATGTAACTTCAGGTGGATTCTGGAGGCTGTAAGAAGCTCGAGCAGTTCCAGGAAACACATCAAGCAGTTTATTTTTTTAGCAGGATCCCGGCAGTTTTCAAAATGCTGAGAAAATAAGGCAGCATGGAACACTTCAAAAGCAGCGTCGAAAGGAGTCAAGAGCTGCTGTAGAACTTCTGTAATGAGAAAATAGTAATTATAAAGAACAGGAAAAGGAAGAGTTGTCTTAAAGTTTTACAATTCAATTTTCATACATATCACTTTGTAAGAAGAAAAAGATGAGAATAATTGTTTCTACTAAGATCAAATGATACACAAATTAACAGCTAATTAACCACAGTTAACCTTCACTTCATAAATATCAGCAGCCTCAGACTATTCAAGAGATTTAATAATTAAGTTTTAATATTTTTCTTTCAATTTTTTTCTTTTTTTGAGACAGGGTCTCCTTGTAGTCTCAGCTGTCCTGGAACTCACTATGTAGACCAGGCTGGCCTCGAACTCACAAAGATCTGCCTGCCTCTGCCTCCCTAGTACTGGGATTAAAGGCGTGCGCCACCACACCTGGCCCATCAATTTTTTTCTTTTAAAAATGGTTGCTATTCTCAGTGCTGGGGAGATGGCTCAGTTAGTAAAGCGTTGTCTGCACAAGCATGAGGACCTGAGTTCGGATCTCCAGCACCCATATAAAAGCCAGTCACAGGTGACACACATCTGTAACTCCAGCACTGGGGAGGTAGAGACAGGTGGATCTCTAGAGTTCACTGGTCAGCCAATCTAATTAAATCAATGAGCTCCAGGTTCAGTGAGAGACTCGTCTCAAGCAAGGTGGAGGGGCTAGAGAGATGGCTCAGCAGTTAAGAGCACTGGTTGCTCTTGCAGAGGACCCAAGTTCAGTTCCCAACACCCACAAGGCAGCTAACAACTATCCCTAAGTCCAATAATAGGACATCCAATGCTATCTGCTGGCCTCTACAGGAATTACACACGTATGGCACCTATATATAGGCAAGGTACTCATATACATTTAAAAATAAAAATAAATACGTAAATATGGAGTATGAATGAGGAAGACACCTAACTCTGGCCTACATATACATTCACACACACATGTACTCACATATCCACATGTACACACTCACAAACACATATATGCACCATACATACACAAAGGTTTTCTTCAGTCAAAAATATGAAGAGAGATTCTTTAGTTTTCCATATTTCAAAATAGATCAGACACAAAGTAAGTTTTATTCTTCATTATAAATACAATGGTCCTAGGAGAGGTGATGATCACTTGTGGACAGTGTCTTCTATACCTGTTTTCTGTGAACATGTATCTTTCAAGATTTCTTTTATTACAACTGTAGAAATCCAGAGGAAGTGCACTACTGCATCACTCTCAGAGTATTCAGAGAGATGTTTCTGGCCAAAAGCAATCCAAGAATTACTTAATGTTATCTACAAATGAGAAAACAAAGAAAGGTAGTTATAATTATTTTCTTTATAATTACAAACTACCCATTATTCACAATACAACTATATACAACATTATTTAGATGTTTGCCTGAAAGAATTATGGTAATATTTGATAAGACAGAACAAAATATTCTAATATTCTTTAAGGTAAGAAATCCAGTATCATAGAAGACTGGAAAGGAACAGTTTATAAATGGCTCAATGCTGTGTAATTATTTTGTTGTTCTTTAGACTTTGTTCTACTTCTCAACCTATCATAAATAACATTTTCGTATTCAAAAAATGTTATTGTAAGAAATAAACAATTATAGCAAGTCAGTAGATGTGTGTGTACACGTTTGTGTATATGCAAGTGTGCATGCACATGAATGCGCATGCACTAGGAGACGAGAGGTCGAAGGTTAACGTCTTCCTCAGTCACTTGCACCTTATTTTTTGAAACAGGATCTTACTGTTGTTTCATTCTTACAGTATTTTGGATTTATGCATTATTATGAAAGTTAGTATCTTATTCATTCAAATCTTTATAGGAGTAAAAAGGAAATGCCAGAGAGCAACTCTAAAACACCGAAGCGGTAACAAAATTTGATGACTTCTCTTGCCTTTTCTCTGAGCTGGAAGTAGAGAAGTGACGCAAGGCACTTTGCAGCCATGTGAGACAACAGCTTATCCGGATTTTGGAGCATGCAGATCTAGAGCAAAACAGACATAGTTCATCAGAACTGCTAAGGTTTTCTGAAACTTTTATTTAATATTCAAGTCTTTGAAAAAGTGGCTTACCAATTTAGAATCGATTTCAGCTGACTGTAAAAGGACTCCAGTTATTTCTCTGTACTCTTCCTTGGCTCGGGTCTCAGTTTCAGAGGACAGCACTCTGGTCAGCATCACATTCATCACGGTTAACTGAAGGAGCTTCACTTCTCGGGCCCTGCTCATCTGGGAGTGTCTCTCTGCACACTCCCCAGGTTCAGGAATGGTTATGACCTCACTGGAGGATAGCCTAGGTTGGCCTGGCACACCACCAACCTTACCATTGCTGTTTGACCATGCTAAGGAGGCTGTACAGCAAGCTTGTTCTGAAAGCTCTGGGTTGAGGTAAAACATGTAACCATGGATGTCATTTTCAAGGGTGGCTCCAAGAAGAACCTTCTTGTATAACTGGTCCAAAACTTTGAAGAAAGCTTCCATTTTGATTTCCAAAATGTATCATGGAAGAGGGTCAACAACCCCACATTGTAAGTGAAATAAAATGAATCTCTAAGATGTTTCTTCGGTGAAGCCTGAAATATAAAAAGAAAATTTTTAATTCTGAGTGTTATACCCATATTACAAGGAAAGAAAACTGTTTTCACTTGCTAAATAATCTCAAGTTAGATAATGTTAGTTGCTGAATTCTTAAAATAGAAAGTAACAGTTTTTAAGACCATAGTGATGAAATGTATGCTTTATATGCAAATTTAAAAGCATAAAACCACTATTTTTGTGGTACTAAGGACCGAACCCCAGACTGCGAGCATGTTAGGCAAGCACTCTACCACCAAGCTATGCCCCCAGCCCTATCTTTCACTTTTTGTTTTGAGACAGGGTCTCTATGAGCTGCCCAAGGTGGCCTGGCCTAGAAGTTACTCTATAAACCAGCTGCCTGAATTTGTGATCCTCCTGCCATACACTACCAAGTACCTGGGAGTACAGTTCTGCACTACCAGGCCCAGCTGTACTCTCATCATGGCAGAGAACAGAGCTTTCCACTAACATGTTTCTGTGGCTTCCAGGCTTGGCAGTGTTGACTCCTCCACATGGAGGAGCTGCCAGGGGACCGCAAGACGGTAAACCATACTACTGTCTTCTACCCTTTCCATGCCAACCACTCCCAGCCTCATCCACCAGATTCTAATGACTAAAAAATGTCTGCAGACATTGTCAAATGTCTCATTCAAAACCATTGGGCAAAATCAAATTCATTAAGCATCACTTCTACTTTATAAATTAAAATCTGAAGTTACATTGCTATATGGTTGATTATGTTATGGCTATTGCTTATTAAATTCCAACTTAAATTATATATTATATAACAATAATATAAGAATCCTTGGCCATCACCTCTATAACTAAATAAAAACATTTTTTTTAAATAGTGTTATCCCAAGAAAAAGTCAAGAACAGAAGGAAAAGCAACTCAAAGATTAGCAAACTGTACTTACAGTTGAATGCAAATTTAGATGCTCTGGTGGTTCCAGACTTTTTTTGCCATGTTGGAGACCAGGAAGGGGGGTGGTGGAAAGTGTGGGGTATACACATGACACATTCAAGGCCAGACAAGGCTTTTGAAACAATCAATGTGAGAGAAAACATGCTGCTACAGCACAGGCAAAAGAGGACGGAAAATCCTTTCACACACAGGGCCTCTGGGAATGCTCTCATTCTACCAGGAAAAGGAAAGCTACTACTGTGATTGACTTTGAGTTATTTTACACCCCCTAAATGTAAATAATTTAAAGCAACATACATAATTCTCATCTATGGGCATGCAAATAATCCTCTCCCAGTGGGAAAAGGAAGTTTCTGCTTTTTTTGCAAACTCATTTTAATGTTCTCCATACAAATTTAGGGTTCCCAACTTCTCTGTGTATATATTTTAAGAGGCCTTTGTCCTCTTATAACACAGATTCTTCAACAAAATCCATGGACTTCACTTCACCAGAAGTCATTGCAATTGCCCTGAGCATCTTCAATCTCCCTCCCTGAGAGGCTCAAAGGACTGCTCACCCCCACCCCTCCCCCTTCTGTAGTGTGGCTCACTCACCTGCCCTGGTCTTCTACCTCTTGCTTCTTCCTCCTATTTAGCACCTAAGGAATTTCAATTGCTAAACACTTCATCAAACACAGTTGCTCTATTTTAGTTCTCTATTTCAACATAAGTATTAACAAACCTATTGGTAGCTTTGTTACATTTGACAATGTTAAACTTTCCTATGCGCACATAAAAGCAGCAATGACTAAGAAGCACTGTACCTGTATTCTAACAAATAGCGAACCAGAACGGGCAGTCTTGTATCTATGTGTCCAGGTATGACCAACCTTCACCTTCTTTCAATAACTTACGTTTCTGAAATGGAGTCTTACTAATTTGCACAGATTGGCCATGAACTTTTATCCTCCTGCCTCAGCCTCAAAAGCATCTGGGATTACAGGACCTCTTCTAGCTTCCCTTGGTCTATAAAACCCACCTCTTCTCCATCCTCATTGAGAGGTTTCCCATTACAGAACATTCTCCTAATTGCAATGGCCTGAATAAAATCAGCTATCATTGTATTTTTCCAGTCACACATCAGAAATTGGCTTTCATATTCTACTTAAAAAAATAATAAAGTAAAAAACAAAGTCTAAATCTCTTTTTATAACAATAACATTTTTTTCCTCAATAATACTGATATTTTGAAATAGAATATTTTAAGTTTTAGCTAATATGCTCACCTCTAGTGGCAAAACTTCAGCAACAAATGTATTTTCATTTCAATGCTATACCAATAAAAATATTTCTAATAATATTTCTCTGGTTCCTGAGACCTCAAATTTTACCAAATATTCTTGACTTGGTCATTCTGAACCCAGGTTAAAGTCAATGTTGGTAAATAAAAAATAGTTGGCTAGTTTTTGTCATGGTGGGACCCAGGATCTTTGATAGTAATGGTTCTACAAATCAGATTAAAAGTTTTTAAATTTCAAGTTAAGAAATACATATCTGGGAGCTGGTGGCTAAAACACAGGTAAAGCTTGTCACCAAGCTTAATGAACTGAGTTTGATCCTTGGGTCCCACATGGTGGAAGGAGAGAAACAACTCCCATAAGTTGTCCTCTGACCTCTACACACGCACTGCAGCACATGTACACATACACGCACAGCACACACAAAATAATAAATAAATAAAATAAACTTATAAAAAGAAACTGTATAGAATCTACAAGGGCGGGCACCTACCCTGAGAAAGAAACATCTGAAGAGATCTAATGTGGCTGTGCTGGATAGTTTTAGTGCCAACTTGACACATCTGGGTTGAGGAAGCCTCAATTGGGGAATTGCCTCCATAGGACTGGCCTATGGCTATGTCTGTGGGGCACCTTCTTGACTGATGACTGATGTGGGAGGGCCCAGTCCACTGTGGGTGGTGCCACCCCTGGGCAGGTGGGCCTGTGTTGCATAAGAAAGCAGGCTGAGCAGAGGGCAGGGAAGCAAGCCAGTAAGCAGTGATCCTCCGTGGCCTGTGCTCCAAACTTCTGCCTCCAGGTTCCTGCCCTGAGTTCCTACCTTGGGCTCCCTGATGAACTGTGACCCAGGAGATGTAAAATAAAATAAGCCGTTTCCTCCCCAAGTTGGTATTGGTTAGAGTATTTTGTCATAGCAATGGAGAGTCAAACTAGGACAGTGGCCAAGTGGAAGAACAGGGTCTTTCTTCCGAACATACTTAGAGAGGAATGCTGACTCCACACTCAGTCACCTAAAGCAGCATGCACTAGAAGACAAGTGCAGTTTCCTAGTATTTAAAGGGGGGAACAGTTCCAGGACCCCACAAATACAAAAATCTAAGGTGTCCAAGTCTCTCCAATAAAATGGCACAGTATTTGCGTCTAATCTACACATATATATTTTATATTTCAAATAATTTCTAGATGACTTAGTACAACATGAATACTATATAAATTGCTGTAGTTTAGAGAATGATAAGAGAAAATAAAAGGCATGAGGCATGCATGTGTTTAGTAAAGGTGTGATTTCTTTTCCTAAATAGTTCCCTTCAAGATGGTGGAGTCCACAGACATGGAACCATAAATACAGAGAGCTATCAAGATTTTCTGAAACTTCTAATATTTTATTTTGATTTTTTTGGATTAATTTATTTTTATTTTATGTGTAGAGTGATTTGTGGGAACATATATAAGTGCACCTGTGTCATGCAATGCCTGCAGAGGCCAGAAGAGGGAGTCAAATTTCCTGGAACTAGAGATACGGATGTTATCAGCCACCACGTGGGTGCTGGGAACCAAACCTGGGTCCTGTACAAGAGCAGCCAGTGCTTTTAACTGCTGAGCCATTTCCCCAGTCTATTTCTTTTAAGTATATAAATGATTTAATTTTATATTCTATATCTCATAGAACTGTAGGTATCTTACTATAAAAATCTCCCCCTCACCCTTACATAAAACTGATAAAGAGTAATTGTTAAACTTTACTGAATCCTACTGTGCACTTAACATTGTCCTAAGCACTTCTGAAATAGTACTTAATTGCCAAACCCACTTTACAGATAAAAACTAAGATACAGAGAGGTTAAGTTACAGGGCCAGGACCTGAAGTCAGGAAGTCTTATCTCAGAGCTAGTGCTTGCCATCACTGGGATACAGCACTCTTCAGACTTCCCAGGTACCCTAAAGCCCAATACAACAGGTGGCTAGCAGCCTCTGATGTAAGCAGGTATAAGCAGTAACATACAGACTAGCCTTTGACTTTCTACCTCCCATAACACCATAAAACAAAATAATAATCCTCAGAATCATTTTTGCATGCTGTACAAAATCTAAAGTTAAGGTCAATTTTTTAAAAACATTTTATTATTTTTATTTTATGTGTATGCGTGTATTGCCTGCCTGTAGGTAAGTGCACCCATGTCATGCAATGCCCATGGAGGTCAGAAGAGGATGTTGGATCCCCTGGGACTGGAGTTACGGACAGTTGCCATGTGGGTGCTGGGATTCAAACCCAGGTCTTTTGCAAGAACAGCCAGTGTTCTTAACCACTGAGCCATCTCTCCAGCCCCTTAAGGTCAATTATTATGCACTTTCCCAATGCAAACCAAGATCACTTTTAACAAAGGTACCCAACAGCCAGAGGTTGAAACATTGATGAAGATAGCCAGTTAATTGAATTTTTATACTAAATTGGTTTTAGTGGGTACATTAAATCCAACAACTCAAGAGAGCCTCAATTATCCAATGATCCTTCTTTGGTTTTAGGTCATCAGATTTGTAACTTACACTCTGATTTTACTTCAATTAAAATAATTTCAACATCTTACAAAAATTAACTCAAAATTCTTTTAGATGATGTTCACTGATAACTGTTACATTTTTCTGATATTAAAAAAATAACTGTTTTAGAAAAAAAATAGTAAGAGAAAATTTTGGGGATCCAATGACATAAAGCCTCGATCCCAAAAGTACAATCCATAAATGTAAAATTGGTAAACTAGACTTCAACAAAATTAAAAATGCTTGTTCTCTAAAAAAATTCCTACCAAGAACTTGAAAAGACTGCTGGGGAATGTAGCTTTAGTGGTAGAACATGTGACTAACAGGCATGAGGGCCTAGGTTTAAGTTCCTGTAGTGGCAAGAAAAAAAGAGTTGAAAAGTCAAGCTATAGACTGAGCAAATACTTCAAGCACATGTCTGATAAAGAGCTCGTACCTAATACACATAGAGAACTCTCAATGCCCAGAATGGATAGAAATACCACAAGGTTTTGTTTAGAATGTCAGTTCTTCACATGAGACCAGACTATTAAGGAACTAAGAACTGTCTTTATGAAGGTAGTAACAGCCCTTGCACAAACTGGCATTAGGTGTTACCAGCTATGTGGAACCAGAACCACAATCCTAGCAGCCTCATTTATCCAGAAAATAGTAATCAGAAATTCCCCTCATGCTCACCTGTCTTGAGATCACAGAAGTTGGAGGAACAAAACAGTTTAGATACAGATGAGGACACAGAAGAGAGCTGACTCAGTAGCTCAGGAGGGCACTGGAAAGCCTCACAGGGAGGCTGCCTGCATCATGTGTGGGCACCAGGACCTGCTGCCCACAGCCCTCATGGTGGTTCCAGGTTGGTCATCTGTACAAGGGCCTCGTGCTGCCTTAATCATGAGCACAGCACTGAGATTTGTTTCTCTGCTGGGCCTATCTGAAGAGCATCTGTGGAGTGCACTCTCCATGCTTTGTTATCATCGTCTTTTTCATGTCCACACCAGTCATCCTTGAAATTGTATACCTGTGCTGGGCTCTGCAGAACAGAACAGAGTAAGAAACAATTTCAATGTAGAGGAGAAAAGATATGAAAAAGCTGACTTTGATGTGGAAGATAAACCTGAGGACAGTCTCAGGATGTCTCAAAGAGACCTATTCTGTGCATTTCAAAACTAAGGTCCCAACTTGACCAGAAAAGGGGACGGACGCAGTGTAAGCAAGAAGCTACAGGAAGCACTGGAAAAGCGTTCATGGGGGACAACAGTGAACCCAGTATCACTCTCCTCCAGGCCAGGATGTCGTCATCCATGGCTACTTCACCTGAGCTCTTATCTGAGTCACTGAGACTGTTCACTAAACAGATACAAACTGGGCTTTGGGATAAATTTCTTAATTGAATTAGGTCAACAACTACAGAAAAACATCCAAAACGAGATACTTTCCAAGAAAGAAGAGCCCTATATAACCCAGTGCTGCCTTTTAAGCATCCTCTTGGATCATTTATAGTTGGCAAATGACTATTCTTCCATCACAACAGGAAACAAGCAAAAACATGAAAGACAACAAAAATAACTCTAATGAATACCAGTCTCAGAATAGAATAAAGCCAGTGACACTGAATGCTGGCAAAGATGTGGAGAAGCTAATCCTTCTTAGAGCTGCTTTGCAAATCAATCTGGCCGTTTCTTAAAAAGCTAAGTATCCAGCTACCAGATGACCCAGCAATTGTGCAACTGGCATTTATTCCAGAAAAATAGAGCCATTCACACAAAAGCTTATATACTACGTTGCCCTTCTCTGGATGCATGGTTAAACAAAGTAGCATAGCCACACCATGAAATATTTTTCAGCAACAAAAGAACTATTGCTACATGTGACAATTTAGATGGCTCTCAAAGGAATTACACTGAGGGAAAAAAGGCCAGTCTCACGGGTCATATACTGCCATTTCTATTCCTGAAAGACACAATGAGAAATGGAATAAAGATTGGTGGCTACCAGTTGGTAGGGAGGGCCCCAACTCTTCAGTGGGTAGGAGGGTTATGAAGGGCAACTTGAGGGATCCTGGAGATCAAATGGATAGAGGGCAGCTTAACCTATATATAACAAGATCACACAGAACTAAACACATCAAATAAGTGCACACAGATAAAACAGAAAATCTGCAAAAGATTGGTGAGTTGTATCAAGAGCCCTCAGACTGGGTCAGGATACTATATTGTTTAGCAAGATGCTGCTAAAAAAGACTACACAGTATTTTCCTATATCATTGCTTGAAAATGCTTGTGACTCCACAGTGACCTCAAAGTAAAACAATTAACTTAAAAACCCCCAACATTTCAGCCACATTTGATAGCTTACACCTGTAATCCTGGCTATGAAGGAGGCAGGAGAACTGACTCCTATAAATTGTCCTCTGAACTCTATATTTCCATGTACACACACACACACACACACACACACACACACACACACACCTCAGCACAGACACCCTTCAGTGTGCATGTGCACCTTGGGATATAAATAAACATATACACGTTCAGACCTCAGTGAATACATGCATATGCCCTGACATACACAGGCACACACCTCAGTGCCTTCACATGGGTGCACGCATGCATGCCCGCACACACACACCAGTGCACACACAACACTTTGGCACACATACTTGTCCGAATATATACAGATACATACATCTTTCAATGTACACACATATGCACCCCTCAACACATATACCCACATACCTCAGTGTACACATGGACACACTCCTTCAGGGTACACACCCATACACAGCATACATACAACATGCATTTCAGTATACACAAGTATTTGCACACAACCCCACAGCCAGGGGAGGGAAATCCAGCCTAGCTTAGGATGGCTGAGGACAGGCTGTGGCTGGGATAGATAGGTAGGTGGCTATCAGAGGAGGCAGTGGGGACCAGGAGCAGGAGTAAGGTAAGTGTGTCCTTCACTAAGGGCTCCCTGTGGGCTGCATGAAACACTTGGAAATCTCACAGACACAGCACGAGGGCACCTGCCAAGGAGGGAGGTACTCGAATTGGTCTCCACAGAACCTGGGGACAATGAAACTTGGAGGAAGCATCTGCCCACGTGACCTGTCAAGAAAGGCAAGGGGTGGGATTTGAACAGAGACCGGAGAGTAGAGAGCGGAGACAGAGAACAAGCCTGGACCTGTCCAGGTCTGCAGCTCTGTCTGTTGTAGGTTTGTGTCCTAGCCTCCCCTGGTGGGAAATGCTTCCTCCATGCTGCCCTGCCCCCACCCTAATGGCCCTCTCCAAGGTCAAGGAAAGCCTAGGATAAAAAGACAAACCCTGTCTCTAAACAAATTATTTTTTATAACAATAACAACAACAGTGAGTTTGAGGCCAGCCTGGGCAACATGAAGCCCTGTCATTCACAAACAAAACAAAAAAATTTAGGAAATAAGTGGAACTTCTGAGTCTACATGAAAGATTAAGATCTTGAACTGGATGCGACAGCACATACCTTTAATCCTAGCACAGGCAGGGGTACGGTAGATCGCTCTTGGTTCGAGGAAAACCTGACTTATGACTATGTAGATATAGTGATAGTGAGTTTCAGGCTAGCTGGGGTACATAATGAGACCCTGTCTTTAAAAAATGAAGGAAGGAAGGAAGGAAGGAAGGAAGGAAGGGAGACTATAAGGGATGGAGGGAGGGAGAGAGTGTGAGAGAAAGAAAGAGAAAATATGATCAGGTGGGCTTGCCAGCACACACTTTTAACTACAGTACATTGGAGATAGGCAAATCTCTGATTTTGACGTCAGCCTGGTCTATATAGTGAGATCCTGTCCCAAATAAGCCCCCCCCCCAAAAAAAAGAAAGAAAGAAAAGAAAATATAATCTCTTATCAACTTCAAAATTATCAAAGAACTGCCTATACATTTTTTTAAGGAATCTTTCTTTAAATTCCTAAAACAGTACCTATTTTCCATGGTCAATACTAATAAAAATTAAAAAAAAAGATTTTGTTTATATGAATTGACTACTAGAGTTTGCCAAGAAATTCACTACTGAGTTTCAGCCTGAATCAACAATTGGTTATTGGTTCAAATTTAATTTCAGCCCAAGAAGTTGTATGATCCTGATGCTATCTGTGGTCCCATGCTGTCTTTGATGCTTAAGTCAGATGCTGAGGCACTCCAAAGGCCATCTTCTAATGGTGTCTCCCAACTGAGACACCATTAGATGTGGGTAACAAACCAGCCTGAATGGTACTGAAGGAATGGTACTGAGTGGGGGTTATCAAAATTAACCAGGACCTCATGCCACAGAGTTCCTGCTTGGATAATCCAGTCCCTGCCCAGAGTGAACACCAACCAATCAGAACTGCCCTCATTTATATGCCACAATCCACCATCCTGCTGCAGGTAGTACTGCTACTGCCCTGCCCACTGCTCCCTTGCATTGTACTCTATACTTTGTCTTTTCTACTCTGATCTGAATTGGGAAAATTTTTTCACCACCATGATGTGCTGATCCACACCACATTTGCCTGTATGGAGACTGGAGTGCTTCAACTATCCTCTTGATCCTCAGTAAGCTACATATGGGCCTGGAGACAACTCCCTCAGTGGGACCAGATTTTCAAACTCAGAGTATGCTCACCACTGTCCTTAGGGCTGAGGGGCTAGAGTTCCTCTGAGAACTCTCTCTCTGCCTCAGGACCCTTGGATGACTCCACAGAGTAGGGAAGAGCTGAAAACAAAAGGTCTCCCTACTCTCAAACAACCTCCACAGGCTTCCAGTGGCCAGGGACCAGATCTGTCTTACACCCTTGAGTGCCAGCACTCTCCTCCCTTGGTGACTTGCAATCCCAAACTAAGGATAACTCTCTGGTGGAATTAAAGGCCTGGGACTGAGTGGCCTAACTGCTTAGCCTATAAGGGAGAAAGGGCTGCTTTCTGTTTCTCCTCAATCCCCAAACTCAGTGCAAAGTGCAGTAGGCAGTGGAAATCCACCCTTGGTGAATCTATATGTTATAGCAGTTACTTCTCTAAGCCCTAAAGTTTCTTTCCATCTCTTCTGACTGGCCCGCCTGAGAATGACCCATTCATTTAAGGATTCTCTGAGATATCAGAGTGCCGAACCCTGACTAAGCACCAAGTGTTCTTGCCCTGACTGGTTGGTCCCTGTGCCAAGAGGTTCTTTTTATAAGGTAAACACCCTCTTTGACATCTGCACCTTTGCAGATATCTTGTCAGGAAGTCCCTTCAATAAGGTAGGATGCTCCTTTTTGAAAGCTGCACATCCAATCCCTTGAGCCTCGCTTGGGTCTTTTGTCGTTTGGAAGGATGCCCTGGTAGGAATCAGGGTGCTGATCTCCAGTCTCCAGTGGAACAGTTACCTTCAAACTCACCTTTAGATGCATTCTAAATAACTGGGGTTAGGCTGGAGAGATGGTATATCCATTAAGAGGACTGGCTGCTTTTGTAGAGGATCCAGATTCAGTTCCCAGCACCCACACAGCAGCTAACAACCATCCACAACTCGAGTTCTAGGGAATTCCACACCTTCTTCTGACCTCTACAGGCATTGTACTTATGGATGCTGTAATATACATGCAGGCAAAACACTCATACACACAAAATTAAATAAATAAATAAATACATAACAATTTAACTGGGGCAAATTTGATCCCTAGACTCTGAAAATATCTGTGTTCCTTTGTGATATGGCTCCAGTACAAAACCCCAGATGAAGCAGCATGACCCCTAATCAGTACCTTCAAGTATTTTCCAGCTCACCCTGTTCTGTCTGTTACAATCTTTCTAAATGATCGAATGTCCCCCATACCCAGGCTATCATGTCTGTCTCAAGCTCCAAATCTGTGAAAACCTGCTCCACGTGTCTGGTCAGGTTCTTAGGGTTCTAAGAAAAGCAGGACATCTAGGAAGACCCCTCCTTTCCCACCTTATTCTACTGATCATTCTATAAGCCCACCTGCCCAAGACGTTCTCCTCCATATCCAGAGGGCCTTGACCCTCTCTCC